CTCGCTGATGCTGGCATCACTCAAGCAACGACAAGACCTACGCCCTCCGTGACTTACAGGCCGCTGTTAAGTCTTCTTTTGGCATGGAGATCACTTTTAACTGCAAGAATGGTGCTCTCAACGAAGCCTGGTACTTCTATAATGTCCGTGGATCTGCCCAGACTGGAGAATATATTCCTACTCTCCCAGGTACGTCAATGCCATAGCCTTTTAATACTCAATCCCTTAGTGCATGTCTAACAACTCTGTACAGGCGGAACCCCATCAACCTGCCCTGAGACCGGCATTCGATATCTCCCTAAGAACGGTGGGGGCACTCATCCACCAACCACCACCACCCCTGGCAGCCCAGCCCCCACTGGTACCTTCTCCGGAAAGGGCTATCTTACCGTGACTGTCATGGGCGAGGAGGATGGATGCCTCATTAGCAGTGGAAACTGGTACACCACCGGAACCTGTGCTACTTATCGCGCTGCTGCTTCCGGCTCCGGATTCACCTTGACATCCAGTAAGGGTGCTTGTGGCATGGTTAATGATCAGTTCAAGTGTGGCTCTGGAGTCACCGCTTCTGTCTTTGGGGTATGTCTTCTTCCATCCTTTACATGCCAAATACTCTTACTAACTATCTCCCAGGCTTCCGAAGGAAAGCTCGCTGCCAGCGGCAAGTCCACCTTCTATGCTGACAAAATCCCAAGTGGTTCCACTCAGGTTCCAGTCTACACTGCCCCCCGTGCTATCCCACTCACCGTTTCATGGCAGGCCATTTAGACGATTCTTATGATGTACAGCCCAGACATGCTTGTATGCGTTCGCTCTTGCAGGCGTATTTAGTACCGGTTCAAAGACATGACCTTTTCAGTATATGAATAGATATGAACATGAATATATACGCCCATATTTACAAAATGTGCTTGCTCTCCTGCAAAATGCATCTAGAAAGCTGTAAATGCCTAGCGAAAGCATAGCATGACTTTTTCTGTTTGCTGCATAACTCCTGCACTAGTCCTATCTCGACAAGCATAACTTCGGCTTAGTCTTTTATTACTAACAAGCTTTGTATCTCTAGACCTTCCCACTTCGAGACTAGCGTCTTTCTAAATGTAGGGCAAAAAAATTGTAAGCGAAGCGACTGTGCGAAATTCAGTTTTATCGACGAGGACGACAAGCTCATTCAACCGCCAACATCTCCGCCCCTTCGACATCAGCCCACGGCGTTTGCTTTTGGTGAAGGGACTACGAAGATAATACAAGGTGAGCCTTCCAATCTGCTTGCCCTTGCCGCCTTTCATCCCTTAGGACCGCGGTTTCGTTAGTTGTGGGTGTGTGTGGACTTTTTGTGCGGACGAATCTTGCGCCAGGAGGGAAGACATTGTCGACGCAGCGCTGTCGAGATACCGTGAACGAGATAGCAAGCATGTTGTGTTTCTGCTTGCCTTGACAGCAAATGTGTTTTTGTGAAGGGTTTACTTGATCTGGTCCATTCTAACTGCGATTTTTTTCTCAATTATAGTCCAATACATCAACCGCAATCATGGGTATCTCACGAGACTCCCGCCACAAGCGTTCGGCCACCGGTGCTAAGAGAGCTCACTACCGCAAGAAGAGGTATGGATATTTTCCCGGGGAACACTATGGACGAGGAAAAAAAAAAATAAATAAATAAAAGAGAGAGAAAGATTGAGGAGTAGAGACTGACGGTGGCGGACATCCAGGGCTTTCGAGAAGGGCCGTCAGCCAGCCAACACCCGTATTGGCCCCAAGCGCATCCACACCGTCCGTGTCCGCGGTGGTAACCAGAAATTCCGTGCCCTCCGCCTCGAGTCCGGCAACTTCTCCTGGGGCTCTGAGGGTCTTTCCCGCAAAGTCCGTGTGATTGCCGTGTCCTACCACCCTTCCAACAACGAACTCGTCCGTACCAACACCCTCACCAAATCTGCCGTTGTTCAAGTCGACGCTGCCCCTTTCCGACAATGGTATGAGGCACACTACGGTCAGCCCCTTGGCCGACGACGCCAGCAAAAGGCTGCTGCCGATACTACCGAGGAGAAGAAAAGCAACAGCGTTGCCAAGAAGCAGGCAGCTCGTGTTGCTGTAATGGGCAAGGTTGAGCCTGCTCTTGAGAAGCAGTTCGAGGCCGGTCGATTGTATGCTGTTGTCTCTTCCAGACCTGGCCAGAGTGGACGAGTGGATGGTTACATCCTGGAGGGAGAGGAACTTGCTTTCTACCAGCGTGCTATCAGAAAGTAAAACCACACAACAACAATATGAACAAAATTTTCTGCCGAAAAAAGAGAGAAAAGCCCTTTTCTTCATATCTTCTTTTCTGAAGACAAGCATGGTTCTCCTGCGGGTTTGAGGAATGGAAAATAAGATATAATTTTATTGCCATAGCACCCTCTGTTTTATGTCTTGACTGGATGGGCGGGGCATTACCGTGCTGGTGCTGGTGCTGTTGTATGTGGAAAGCGGTTTTGATCGGGAGTTTGTGCATTTACCTACTTGTTACGATGTTATAAACATTACCGATGCAATGATGTCTGTAGGTCTCTGGGGCTATTGCCTTGGTTTTCTACTCGGAATGAATACATTTTCCTACCCCCTTTTAATAATAGGCTTTTCCAACCAATATAAATGGCTAGGTATGTTATGTAAAACGTTGGCCAAGTATGTCGGTCACAAGGGGAAATGGTCTCTTCTCCTGCCATCCCACTCGTTGTGGCTCAATCCAAGCCAAACATAGGCCAGTATATATTACTCCGCACGCCCAAATACTGGTATAAGTAGTCCCATCAGCATAACTCAATTCTTTCCTGTCCTCTTTTAACCGTCTACCTAGGTTCGTACTACAATGTAGCTTCTGATCGTCGTCCATTGTCCAATCAAACTACTTCAGTTGGAGGTCGAAGGGGAGTTTTATATTAACTGTTCGCAGAACTAATGTGTCCTCCCTCTATGATCCAGACACAAATGGGCGGCAGAAATAAACTATGTATGTATGTTCGTGGCTCTGTAATCGATATATCAGAGCGGTTCTCATGGCGTGAAGACAGCTGTGAGCTGGCTAGTTTTTCAGGGGTAGATCAGGGATTGTGAGATTCTTCAAAACACCTCGAATCCTGTCAAAATGAACGTGTTAGCAGAGCAAGTAAACAGAGGATATCATGGTACCTCTCTAGGAGTAATTTGGATATCTGTAGGTCGGGAACCAGGACGCCTGAAGCTCTTCCGTGTTCAAAGAGCTAGAGATCGAAAGCCTGGCCTAAAGTAACTGCTTTGGCGAAGGAGAGACATGCCTAGTCTCTAGTCTTTGAGAAATCTTCCTTAGAACCTAAGACCTGAGCCTAGAAAACCCTATGCAGAGGCTAAGCTCTTCCAAAGGAATCTGAGGATGGTAAAATGGTGTTTTTGGGCGTATTTCATATGTCCGATCTTCGCCTCTGCTGTCTCTTCAAGCTGCCGTTGGCCATCATTGGCGGCGCCAAAAATATACTTTGCTTCGATTTTCGCCTACGTCAACGACTTTGGCTTGACGTTTGGAACGCACAAACACTCTCTTTCCCTCGGCACTCACTCACAGCCATAGTGAGGAACGAAACCCGCCCCCCGTCTCAAATGCCGCGGGAGAGCTATCTGATGAAGGAGAGGGGCTGTAAGCAGTAGAACAGGTTGATGTGGTAGTGAATAGACCAGCTAGACATAGGTAAATGATACTCGCTTCACCTAAAGTGGACAACTCGTAGCCCCTTCTTTCTAGCCGCGCCTGCTGCAAGTTCATGCACGCCCCCAAGAAGCAGAACTGCCAGGAGGCCTCCAGAGACGCTCTCTCGACCCAAGAACTCGCTTGTCCTCAGGTATATGGTGACCTGCAACGCACATTCCGGAGCCAGGGCTCGCCGACGCTGCAAATGTCAGTGACGTTGCCACTGCAGGCGAGGTATCTTCCGCCGCCCTTCACTCGCCTTTCTGAGCCAAACGGCCTTCACAGAGAGGATTATGGGTAGCCGGAGGTCATGGATATTGCCCTCTATGCGTGTCACGGCCTCATCATGGAAGAATCTGGCAATAAAAGAGGGGGAGAAGAGAGGTAGGTGGCATCGAATTTCAGGGGGCTGGTAAAGGAGGACATCTAAAGAGTCACAGCCAGCGTTCAAAACTCTCCAGCGCTGAGTTCCAGTTACCAAACTTCCGTCTTCTTCTTCTTCTTCTTCTTCTTCTTCTTCTTCTTGTTCTTGTTCTTCCTGCTCCTTTCCTCCTGTTCACCACCCACCTTTGCATCTTCAGCTTCGTCAGATCTATATTCAACCCTTCTTGTCCCCCCTTGGGAGAGTAAACAGGTGTGTACTCTCTTCCTCGACTCGCAGGCGTCACATTTTGCCTCATAACTGATAAACGGCTGATTTTCCGCAGAAAAAGGGCAAATACAGCACAGTTCTACCGGTTCAAGGAACAGGGATATCTCAAAATGGTCTCTCCTTTCATCATAGATTCGGCCGCTCCCATAGCAAATCTATCACCTGAGAGCGCCAGAGAACCAGCAAAAAAGAAACAAAAAGTGGTGCCAGGGCTGGAACCCGAGTACTTTGCCTCACAGGAGTCGTTCACCTCCGAGTATTTCCCCTTGGAAGGCCCCTTTGGGGGAAAAGTTCCTGCTACTGTTCCCCTAGCAGCAGTGATCTGGAGAGACTACTGCGATGGCACACATCTCCTCCTGGACAATGACAAAAACAAAATCAAAATCAGCATGGACAGCGGCGAGCCTGGCATCCAATTCAAGTATAAATGCCTTAACGCGATGATTATCAACTTCCCCAAGGGCTTGCCTGAAAACTTCGCCGATGTTTTTGCGGAATTGGCAGCCGCCCGCGTCCGCTACTTTGCAACTCATGAGGTTTACAGGAAAGAAAAGAGGGCTCTGGAAGAGTCAGATGCTATTACCCAGCAACTCCACATGAAACAACGGGATATACACTCCAACCCGGGCTATTATGAGCCGAATGCTGCAGAGAACAACAGTATTGCACTGAAGGAGTGTGTTGCAGAATGCGAGTATCAACGAGGGCACTTCGAAAACAGAAAAAATTCCCTCGTATCTTCCGCTCAATTATTCATGGAAGCAAAGGAAAAGGCAATGCCCTTCGTGGTTCGACTCCAGAAATTTTATGCCGATATGAAAGAAGCCTACAGCAAGGCGAAGGAAGCCGAAGCCAAAAGACTCGAACAAGAGAAGGCCGAGAAAGAAAGGCGCCAGAAAGCAATAGCCGAAAAGGAGAAATTGGCCAAGCAGAAACGTTCCAGGGACAGGGTCGTGAAGGAGAGACGCCAAAGGACCGATGCAGCTACGAAAGCACGTTTGGACCATGACGCCAGAGCTTGGGCCGAGTATTTGGCAAGGAGCGAGCGCATGCGAAACGGAGCCAACGATGCTGCTAAACAACACGGTGGAAAGCAGGTCAACCTTCAATAAAATAAGCCCCCAGAGCAACACACACTTCCTCTAAAAGAGAGAGGGGGAGAGAGAGAAAGAGGAGGAAAAAATTGGCATTGAAATCACAACACGGAGTCAGGTATGCAGGAAATTGTTTTCATTCCATGGGAAAACACCGGATCTCATTTGGCGTTGGTTTTTGCATTCATTCAATTGGGGATATGGAAATGGAGAAAAAATTGACAAGACGGAAAGGAAAATGAAAAAAAAAAAAAAAAAAAATCATCGGTCAGGGAAGGGAAAGTTGACATAAATTGATCTTGTTGACAAGCTGTGTACATAGTTATCTTCCATGAGGAAATGAAAAGCTCTTTTAATGCACCTGGTATGTTGCCTCTCTCTGACGTTCGGCCTTGATATCTTGACGTCTTCAGCCAACTAATGACCAAAAGTTTATCTATCACGTGATCAACACTACTCCATTTTTCCTATGTTACATCTGGCAGCACAACGCAGCAACGCAACGAGCCAAGGTCTATATGTCCATGGATAGTGCATGCTGTCTTGCTGTAGCTGCGCCCTGTCAAGGATCTGCTTCCTGCCAGCCAAACATCGTCGTCGGCGTTTCCAAAAATACGAAGAAGCCGCATTTGAGTCACGAAAACACGTGACTTCTTATATAATCTATCTGTCTATTGGCTAAGACAGCGGCGCTAAACCCAAAAAGGGAACATGCCAGAACACGAACTTTTTCAGCTTTTGATGACGTCGAAAACGAACGAGCAGGCAAGAATCGTCGACGATCAACGCGCAGGAAACGCCGTCTATAAGACTGTCTTCTGTTGCCTGGGCCAGGATGGTTCTTCTCTTCTCTTGCAACCTCAGATACTCGTGAGCAGGTCCTGAAGGTCATAGTGTTAGTTATCCGCAGCTAGTTCATCCGTCATGGTCAAGGTCGCGATCGCAGGAGGCTCTAGTCCGACGCTGGGCCGTTCGGTTGTTACAGCCCTTTTGGCAACGAACGGCCGTCATACGCCAGTTATTCTCTCGAGGAAGCGAGAAGGCGGCTCTCCGGCGTCTAGCACGGCAGCTTGGGTGGTTCCTGGATCGTCTTCTACCGCCGAAGTAGAAACTCGGTATGTCGATTACGAGTCCAAGGACTCGCTGGTAGCAGCCCTGCATGATATCGACACTGTCATCAGCGTGCTCCTTATTCATGACACAGACACGTTCGTCAACACCCAGATCAGACTGCTGCATGCCGCTGAGGCCGCTGGGTGCCGACGCTTTGCACCGTCCGAGTTCTCTGGCGGATACAAGTTGCACTTCTCAGTCGATTTTGAGAGGGAGGCCAAGCTTCCCGTGTGGGAGGCCGTGCTCAAATCCAACATCGACGCTGCCCTCTTTGCGAATGGGATGTTCATGAATTACCTTGGAATTGGCAGCCCTGAGAAAGACGGTAATCGAGCAGAGGCGCTGGCGGGCTTTGCTGAGGGGCCATTATTGTTTAACTTGGTTGAGGGCTGGGTTGAGGTGCCCGTGGTCGTGCGTGAGGATGGCAGCGTTCCACCACCAGCCGCTATAACCATGACCAACATCCGCGACATTGGCAGGTTCATCGCCGCGGCTATCGACCTGGAAGAGCCCTGGGGTAAACGAGAGCTTGGGATGGCCGGTTCAACTCTTCAGTTCGACGAGATCGTGAGCCTGATCGAAAAGTATACAGGCCGCTCGATGGAGGTACGCCCGTTCACCAAGAAACAGATCGAGGAGCGGCTTGACAATCTTGCGGAAGGGGTCTTAGGGATCATCGAGAAGCTGGAGTGTCAGTTGAAGAAAGTGTGCTGTGATGGTGGGATCACTGTCCAGCCAACGCTCAACCGCCTCTGTCCGGACGTAAAGCCCATGACAGTCGACGAGTTTCTCAAGAAGTACTGGGCGGAACCATCCGGGCCCACCGTTGATGCATGAACGACGCATAAACTGGAAGCTTACGGAGTAGAAGGGATGAAATTCGCTCTCTCTCCTCGCTTATGTAGCTGGGCAAGTAAAAAGTAGGTAGCATCTCAGAATGGAATCATGACCTCTGGCGCATGTAACACCTCGTATACAGTCTAGATCAAAGACATGGGACGAGCAGTAACCTGATCAGCGGTTTGGATATCAAGGTTAAATCTGGGGAAAAGCTCCCATTCCTCACCACCTGCCAATAAATAGCTGACTAAACTCGCTAACTACTCCCGTTGTAACAGACTCTTGCTCCGGCGGCGAATATACAGTACATGCAAGGGGGCTTTTTGTTTTGATATCTATGTCAACAAACACCCAGGGCTTCTCTGCCCCCGTCCAGCAGCCCGACTGAGGCCCTCGCCAGCTCTCTCGGCCGGGAGGAGGCACTGTTTCTCCTGACGATGCCCTCCGGCAGTAGGGTTTGAGGCCTAGGCACACTTCAGGATCTCTTGAGCCATTGCAGGCCAAGTGATGATAGTCAACTAGCTAGCGAGAGCATCATCAACTAGGTCACTGCGGTGCCATATGGCCAGACGTCCTAGTGAGATCCGCCACCATTCAGGGTTACATGCCCAGACGAGCAGATGCCACTGCGTGTATATCTTGCATTCGGCCCAGCAGGCTGGCGAAGATGGCAGCATGCTCGTCTTGCGCTGTCTGTGTGCAGCTAACTAGCCATCATCTGATATCGCTGGCTGATGTCCCGGGATGCATAACTAACTATCTAGTCAGCTAACTACCCTAGTTCAATACTGCAGGGAATGGAGAGAATCGCCGCCGACACCAACACGCTGCCTCTTCGTCAATGGGATATCCGCTCGACTAGTTGCCTGCCTCTGGGACTGGCTTGTGGCCCATATGTTTAATTTCCGGAGAGCTGTTTAACCGTCTCACTCGCGCGATAAAAAGGAGTTCTTAATTTGCGGGTGTGGAGGCCATCCTTCGCGATGGATGAAGGGAGGGTTGCACGCAGGAAAAAGCAACGACTGCATCGACAACCACAAGCTGTCCTCCACCTTCACCAGCAAGAGTGAAGCCCTCGCTGCTGCTCACCCCGACAGCCAGTCAGCTTCGCAGGTTCGGTGGCGATCTGCCTGTGAAGTGAGCAGGCAAGGGCTGGTTTTTGCCGGGAGGTCGAGGGCAGCGAGCTCAGTCAGTAAACGGATATAAAGCTGGCGGTCCTTCCTTGTCTGCTCCCTGCCTGGTTCCTGTTCACCATCACTTACATTCCTTTGCGCCTCCTCACTCATCACTTGGTGTCTCTCTCTCTCTCTCTCTCTCTCTCCCGCTCTTCCTCTCTGTTGAAGAAGAACAACAACCGAAGAACTACATTGGCCGGAGAACGATGCGTTTCGCCAAAGCTCTGGCCATCACGGCCGTGCTGCTGACTGGCGTAGTTGAAGCCACCTCTGATGCCGTTATTGAGGAAGCCCTGAAGGCCCCTACTATCAACCCACTGCCAGGACCGGTAACCTGGTACCTTCACGCCGAAGAAGGCCGCAAGTACCTCGCTCCCTTTGTCTCATACCACGGACCGCACCAGAGTGGCATCAGGGATGCATGGGAAAGATGCTACGACACTATTCGTCGCCTTAAATGGTATCCGCATGCACTTGAGGGCCCCATCCCCAAGTTCGACCCGTTCCCTGGCCAGGCCTCCAAGCCCAAAGAAAAGAGACAAAATGCTCCTCACGGTGCCATGATCAGAAGGGTTTCCGTCAAAGTCACGGATGTCAATGCAAAGCTGGCTCATAAAGTAGATGAATCCTACAGCTTGACGGTCAGCGCAAGGTCCGAGACCATCGAAATCGAGGCCAAAACTCCCTGGGGAGCTCGCCATGCTTTCACCACTCTGCAGCAGATTGTCGTTTACGACGATAAGACCCGGCAGTTTTACATCGAGAGACCTTTCACCATTAGTGAAGGCCCTCAGTACCCTATTCGGGGCATCCTCCTCGATTCTGGCCGTAACTTCATCTCCCCAAGTAAAATCAAGGAGCAGATCGATGCCATGGCTCTGTCAAAGCTAAACGTCCTCCACTGGCACATCACTGACACCCAGTCCTGGCCCCTTGAGGTCAAAACTTATCCTAAGATGACCGAGGATGCCTATTCAAAGAGTATGGTCTATTCCCACGCAACTGTCAGGGACATCATCAAGTTTGCTGGAGACCGTGGAGTCCGCGTCATCCCCGAGATCGACACACCCAGTCACTCCTCCTCTGGCTGGAAACAGATCGATCCTGACCTAGTGGCTTGTGGAAATTCCTGGTGGTCCAACGATTTCTTCCCACATCACACTGCTCTCGAGCCCAACCCAGGGCAGCTTGACATAGCCTATAACAAGACTTATGAGGTGCTCCGGAAGCTCTACAAAGAAGTTACTGACCTCTTTGAGGACGAATTCCATCACCTCGGTGGTGATGAACTGCAGCCGAATTGCTACAAATTCAGCAAATATGTCACCCAATGGCTCGCCGAACATCCAGGTAAGTCTATGAGTGACTTGCTCCAGGAATACGTTGACAAGACCATCCCGGCTCTCGAAAAAATCAAACACCGCCGTTTCATCTATTGGGAAGACATGCTCCTCTCTGAGCATATCCACGCTGAGAGGATTCCAAAGAACATCGTCATGCAGACCTGGAATAACGGACTCGACAACATCAAAAAGCTTACCTCCAGGGGCTACGACGTTATCGTCTCTTCTGCTGATTTTTTCTACCTCGACTGCGGCAATGGTGGCTGGGTCAGCAATGACCCCAGATACAACGTCATGAAAAATCCCACTCCCGGAACCCCCAACTTCAACTACGGCGGCGACGGCGGCTCTTGGTGTGCCCCGTACAAAACCTGGCAACGTATCTATGACTACGATTTCACCTCTGAACTCACCGGGCCGGAGAAGGAGCATATACTAGGTGGTATCGCGCCTCTCTGGTCAGAACAGGTAGATGATGTTAACATCAGTCCCAAATTCTGGCCCCGCGCCGCTGCGCTTGCCGAACTGCTCTGGTCCGGCAACCGTGACAAAGAGGGCAAGAAGCGAACATTCCTTATGACTGCCCGTATAAACAACTTCAGGGAATATCTTGTTGCCAACGGTATCGGCGCCGCGCCACTACAGCCCAGATACTGTCTCAAGCATCCACATCACTGCGATCTTTACAGTGACCCCAACGCAGTTCTTGGTTAGAGTATTGCGATCTGTCTTGGGAAAAAAAAAAAAAAAAAAAAAAAAAAAAAAAAACATTTAGTAACCTATATGCAATCATGAGCTCAGTTAGCTTCTTGTTGATTAGTTTTATATGCGCATATTATTAGCATTTTTTTATTTTTATCTAGATCCGTCCTGTCTTGCACAGCTTGTATAACTAAGGTCGCTTCCCATGGGTTTAACTTCATTAGTTTACCACTCTATAATGCAATCCGGGCTCAAGCTAATTTCGGCCATCCATGTGGTAATTGTAGCACAAACATCATCTACATCAAGGACAAACTCGACAGAACACGGAATGGAATTAACGATTAAATATATCCATAGTAAATCAGGAGAAAGAAGGAGAAAGATTGAAAGGAAAATAACATGCGGAGCAAATGAGGTTGTTGCTTGCCAGGTACACTAGGTAGGGCTGGAAAAGAAAAATGCAGGTGCAAGAGGTATTAAAAAAAAGGAATGTATATTCAATAGAGGGCTCGGGCATTGGTATCAAAAAAGGGAGGTGGCGACATTCAAGAATTATCCAACATGTAGAAGGGAATAAAACATTCATCCAAATAAAATGTCATATCTTACATGAACGTAAGAGGTAAATAAAGGGGTTGAAGGAATAAATGGCCAATTGCCAGAAATGAAAAAAGAGAATGGGAGAAGGGTTCAAGGGGAATGCGAAGAGTATAGTTGAGGAGTGATGTCAATTATGGGTGACTGACTGTAGCCGAGTTGAGATCAGAGTATGAATATGAAGGATACCGAGGGCTGGGAGTATATGTTCAAGAATGCGTCGTATGAGCCTATTCTTCCTTTACAGCTCCGCCCATTGCGCCACCTTCTCTAAAGTTGGCACGGCTGGCCTTTCGACCGGACTTCAAAAGACTGAGCCGTCTCATGACGGAGTCCCGCACTGCAGATGCGCTCATGTTGCTACTTCCGCCCGAGTTGTTCGTTAATGGGCTAATTGGAGAGTTCTGGCCTCCTGAACGCGCGGATATACCTGTTCGATTGCTGCCGTTAGTCGACGGTCGGGTCTGGGGAATAGTCGAGTAAGTAGTTCCATTCTGTTTGCGAGCAGCCTTCGCCCTTTCGATGATCCGCTGTTGTGTCGTTTTGATGTCTTCCGTGGACGGGGTTGTTGTACAGTTGGGTCTTGCTTCGGTAGCGTTGCCGTTATTACTACTAGTGGTACTACCGTTTCCGAACCAGCTGCGGCGTTTCTGTGAGCCATCTGTCTTGCTCTGGGCTGAAAGACTGCCTTTTCTTTCCTTCATATCCGCTTTGTTGCTGGCCGAGGTAGGGGCCCTAAGTGGCTCGTTTGCCATCGTAGTACCGTTGAGCTTCATTCCTTCGCTGATGGATTGATTTCTTAGGCTGCTGTTGGACCTTATTGTTTCCTGGGTAATTGTCGTGACAGAGTTAGAAGGCCCATGATGCGAACGTCTGAACGGGTTAAGGCTTAAGCGACGGCTTGGAGCCTCGGATACTGCGTTGGACAAAGATCTTGAAAGTGAGGGCTTGGGTGGTGGACCATCATTTTGGATATCTTGTACTCGAGGGGCCTGGGTATTTGCAAAAGGATCGAATCGATTGAAGGTGGGAAGGGTGTCTTCTTGGAACTGCCCGGCTACAGGTACGAAGGTAGCAAGCTCGTGGGAGAAGATAGATTCAAATTGACGAACAAGCTCTATCTGGTCGGATTGATACGATGGCCGAAGGTTGAATAGCATGAGGCAACGCTTGATCGCCACAGCATGCTCTATCAAGGCAGTTGCAAGGGCGTTTCTTAGAGGGTGGTTGGAATGTATTGGCCCATCTACGTCGCCATTCTCAGTTGGTACATCCATATCATAATCTTCTTGAAGGAATTGGCGGTAGAGTGCAGCACAAGTGGACGGTTGGGCTTCAATGTCAAGCAGCTGTCGAATAAGTTCAGCCACTGCTGTGAGATTCGCATCAGGGTTCAACGTGGCTCTCCTTTCAAGAATTATAAGTTCCTGGGTCTTGCGCCATGTCCGTTCTATAGCGGTTTGCAAGGGGGTCAGGGAAACTTCGTCAGTAGCAACTATCTCACTGCGTCTAAGAATGTTGGGAAACAATTCGGCAACGGTATAGATAGTCTTCTCAACCCATTGTTTCTTAACATTGTTTCCATTCAAGTGTTTCTTAGACGTAACTGAGAATTGCGCAGGTACAGACGTCAAGAGGTGGTCTCTAACGGACTGGGGGACCTTGGTTCGTTGGTAAACCGGATGGTTCATGTCCCGGTGAATGCTAACGGCAGATACCCGAAGGAACTGGCCCTCTAAATCTTCAATCTCTCCAGATGTGATAAGCTGGGCGGCTGGGTATTCTTTCTGCAGTCTGTCGGTAAAGCTGGCCAATCGATCTGTCGGGTGTCCTTCGAAGATATATTGCTTATCCCTTACAGTAGCCGGGAACCCAAGACCCTTGAAAGTGACACGGAAGTATCTCGCAACCTGGATATCATCTCTGACAATGGAGTCATAAATTCTAGCCATAGATGTCTGCGTTCTTGAAAGTTTGGCAAAGTCCAGGGTGGTATGCTCATATTGGTCTGCAAGTTCCCGATAACATGCAAGAGCATGTGCCCAAGCCTTCCCGTCTTCGAAATGCTGAATTATTTGGAAATACAAGGCTTCCTTTCGATCGAAGGCACTCTGTTCTGGGAACTCGGGAATCACAAGAGCCGGAAGCAGCTGTGAAGAATCCCAATTATAGAGGTCAGCATGGAATTGAAGTGCAAGGCCGGCTTCAGTGAAATTCCGGGCAGCAACCTGGCCCTTAGCAAGCTCATGCACGTAGCGAATGAAGATATCCTCTTTGTCCATATCCTTCATGAACTCCATTAGTTTCAAGGTATTCAAACTCTCCGATATATTACCGGAGTGTGCAGCGGCCAGGAGGTCTAGCAGTTCATCGACAGTAGCAACCAGTTCCTTCAATGCCACCATGAGTTCGGGATCAAGGGTCTCGGATTTTGAGTCAAAGAGTTCCATCAACTCAGTCATGAACAGTTTCTGAGTGATGCTTTCGGAGAAGTTCCTTGTCTTAAAAGTCTCGTCTAGGCTGGATATTATCTCAGCTTCGATCATGGCCAGGTCTTCGTTCAATTGCCATTCGCTGACAAGCATGGTCTGCAATATTTCAACAGCAACCCGTCGAGGTCCCTCATGGACGCTCAGACAAAGCTCGATAATCGGAGGCACGAGGCTAGGAACATATTGAACTTGATATCCTCCAAGCCTATCCAAACCAAACCGGTCACGCTCTTCAGGGGTAGTCTCCCAACCGATGGCCTTCCAAGTGGTACGCAAGAGCTCAGCGCCATGTTCACGGACATCGCCAGCGATTTTCCACACAGCACGTCGTTTTTGCTCAGGGAAGGTTTCCAGAGCAAGAGCGTCACTTGATACCAACTTCAAAATTGTAGCGAAAAACAGTCTCCATAATTCCATGTCAAAAGTATCAGCTTCCTCAACAGGCGGGAGGAACGATTTGATAAGCATTGCGGACCAATGTTCCAAACTTTTTACCACCGAGCGATGGTGATATATGCGCAAACTTAACCAAGTTGCAGGGTAGGGAACGCAATCAAGAATTGATATGTGAGTCGTGAATGCACGGGATAAGAAAATAGCCATCTCGTCTTGTTCCATAACTAACTCCACTGGGTTAGGTATAGCGGACAACGCAGCAGTGAGGGCAGAAAGTTCAACAAGAGCCTCATCGAATTTCTGGCTTGTCTTCGACTGCTTTAGCTGGAATGGGAAGGACTTGCTGAATAGAAGGGAAAGCCAGTTTGACTCTTCAACACCATCGGCTGCGATTGCACAGTAAGAGGCCACGACTTTGGGCATGTACTCAAAAAGCTCTGGTTCTGGGTGTTTTAGTTGCTCTGCAATGATAGACGAGCATAGTCGGACCTGGTCTCTGTATTGGTCTGTAACTTCTGACACGGCTCCCCAGTAAGGATCAAGCCACTCGGCACACCGAGCATAGAGCATCTTCCGCTCCTTCTGCTCGGCAAATAACGAAAGCTGGAAGTAGTTTTGGATAAGAACAAGCTTATAAAGAATAAGCATGCCTTTAACGTCCTTGCATGAATCCATAAAGCTCAAGGCAATGTCGATGATTTCCTCCTTGGTAAGCGCACTGGATAGCTCCGGTAGCCAGGTATGGAAATGTTGAACAACGAGGGTCTTGCTTCCAACGAGTATCGGGGCAGGATTTTGGATCAATGCTTCGACGGACTTGAAGATGAAGGTCAAATCACGGTTGAAGGTTGATTGTATGTTTGTAATGCCAATACCTTCTTCCTTTGCCTTTTGCTGTTCTCGGGCATTGATTATGAATTTGAGAATATGTCTTCCAACCTTGAAAGCAGCACGGAGGTTACGGGATTGTTGGGAGTCAGGGGTGGCCTGGAGTAGACGGCAATAGCTTCTTATCAAGCATGGAGTAGCAAAGGGGAAGTTGAACTGTTCCTTGGCATATTGATCAACCAGCGGTCCAAGGTTAAAGCGACGGTCATGGAGGATTCCAAGTACAGTGACGATATCGGTAAACACAAGGTCCTCGAACTCGTCATGCCCCGAGTGTTCAACAATTATACCGAACAACGCATCGAAGACGTTGCTTAGCTGCTTGACTATCTCGATCTCAGGGACGAAGACCAGCCTCCGCAGAAGCTCTAGAAGCTCCGAGGCAGGCTTCTCCTTCCAGTTGAGAAGTCCGAGCATGACTTGATCCTGGGAATATTCAGTGCTACATAGATCAGTTTCTACTATTAAGGTTGCCATTGGTCCGGTCACAGCTTCGTCCTTGGTGCATTCATTTTTCCCAAGGGCACTCCAGGGCAGGGATAGATAGGCTCCTTTTCCGTTTTCAATGCTTGAAGTGGATTTATCATATGCATGGAGTAAGAGAGAATGAGGACCGTCACGGATAAATGCTTGCTGGTCCCAGAGAGGCATCCAGCTTAGTGCGAACGGGAACTCCGGGGCATCTGCTATACTCATAATCAGGTGGGATCCGGGTACCTGGTCGGCCGGGATGCTCAGGCGGATAGTCTGATTCCAGCTAGAAAGCCTCTCGGTGACGGTAGTTCTCCAGGCAATGACGGGGGTAGCGTTAGATGAAGGACAGATGCATTTTTCAACTCTGGCGCCTGAGGAATTGCGGACTTCGAGGGTTAGTTGTATGTTTCGGAGACCAGTCGACTGTGGGACAGGGACCTGGCCATGGACTGGGTGCGAGAGGAGAGCATCCCGTGAGATGTTCGCTCGTGAGAGGGTAACGTATATATCTGACCTTGGCTTTGTTGGCGCCCCAGGAAAGCCTATCCTTCTGGTCTGAGTTACACTGTGGAGGAGAGTAGGGTTCTTTTTGACGAGGGCGTCTGCATCTGTGCTGGTGAATGGATACAGGTGAGTGTGTAGCCTAGCAGCCTGGTATGACCGGGTATACCTTCCGGTTGGACTGTAAATTAGGCTGCGGATGATCTCATGGAAACCGTCTGTGTTTGCGTCTTCTTCTTCATTTTCATTCAGGGGCGACCAGACGGTGAACACCTGTTCGGTAGACTTGCCGGCCTTGACTAAGGGGCCGACTTCAATTGCTCCTACACCAATGGTACGACAGACGGGGTCTTTCTTCTTTGGGGGAGCTGCAGTTTGTTTCTCCTTATCCGTCCCTTCGCTGGATCGAGGTGGAGCGTTGTTAGTAGCCTCTTTTGCTGCCGGATCTACGGGCTGTCCACCTTTGCTACCCTTGGGCCCCCACATCATGCTCCTTCTACCCCGTAAGCTGCCCTTGCCTGCATTGCTAAATTGGGCTCCAGCTCTGCTAGTGCTGGAACCGGAGGAGGAGTGGGATTTGCTAAGAAATGGCACGGTTCGCGGTGCCTCCCAGCTGAGGACCTTGACAACGAGGAACAGTTTTGAATCTGCGCCTGATATTTCTCCTATGTCTGCCGCACTTAGCTCGGTAAACAGGGTCTTTAATTTCCCGCTGACAGCAAGAGACGAAAAGCTTTCTGCAGAGGGGACATCTAAGGCATATGTTTCGGATAGTGGCTTGACATCGCCGGCCAGAGATTGTAAGCACAGGCTGACTGCAAGAACAATTGGGCTGGAGATGGTGCCGGTGACCGCATCAAGCTCGAAGAGAAGATGGTGGAGGGAGTCTGTATCAGACGGATGCGTTATCTTGCCATCAAGCATGCTCATTTCGGACTGGAGTTTGGTCAGTTCGATGGCTGAATCGTCTCCGGTCAGCAGCCGGCCACGCTGAGCAGGATCGCGGACGATGACGTCCCCGCTCAGCATCTTGTTCCCTCGAACCAGGTTCCAGACGGTTTCTTCGCGTAGTGTCTTTCTCTCCTGGGCGGTCAGGACATTGTGTAGAAGCTGCCGCCGAGCGAGGTCGAGTTCGAGGACAATGTTGGACATGCTCTCCAAAGTAGCGTACTGTCTCCCGAGAAGCAGTCCATGGATGTTTGTTGAGTGCCATTCACGGAGACAGGAAGCAATCTCGTCGACCAGCGGCTCAGACATCGAGGTAGGCGTCTCATCTCCTATCTTGAGCATTGGCACAGGGGCCGCGGGCTTTGCGTCGGTAGAGTGCCGCCGCAGAGGCGGAGGAGGAGGAGGAGGAGGAGTAGGAGTAGGAGTGAGGGAGGCAACGGCTGCCGTCTGCATCGACATGCCAGACCGTCGCTTCGTCGCATCTTCTTCCAGCTTGAGGATGGTCAGCGGTGACAGTTTGCGAGCAGTCTTGACCTCCGGAGCCAGGCCGCGGGAGGTCGGCTTGATGTCTCCTGGCTGGCCATTCTCCGGAGACGCAGCGGCAATTGAATGCGAATCGCCGTTGACCACGACGCCTGGGCTGTCCCGCGGCTTCTCGTTTGCCTCGTCTGCGTCTCCGAGCACTTCTCGCACCTCGACGCAGTTCTTGGGAAATATCCCGGAGAAGACACGAGCCTCCAGCGTCTGTCCGCGAACGCTCGTCAGGCCGGCCAGCAGCGAGGGCGGCGCGACCAGGTAGCCCCGATACCATTCGCCGCTGACGCCGCCCTGTTCGATTATGTAGAGTTCATCTCCGAGCTCGAGAGGAAGGTCTGCGGGCGACGACGGCTGGAAGGGATAGACCGCAACGGCGAACGCAATGCGAGGTAGGGGTTTCCAGGGCATCCTGGGGGAGGAGGAGCAGGAGGAGGAGGAGGAGGAGGCGGAGGAGGAGGGCTCGTTCGCTCGCAACGGGACAGGAGGGAGACCGAAGCCCGTTCAGGAGAGCACAACGAGCCGGAAAGAACGTGATTTCTTGTCGGAGAGCAGGAGAGCGAAGAAGTAGAAAAGACGTAAAAAGACGAAGAAGACGAAGCAGAAGGAAAAGAAGAAAGGAAATCTCCTCGAAAAGGGCGGCCGGGGGTGGTCAACTCTTGACTGCCGCCGGCGCAGGGGCTGGAGACGTTCAGTCCAGGGATTTTTGGATGTATCGCGAGAGAGAGCGAGGGTAGCCTTCACCTGGGGGCCGAGAACAACTTGGTCAGCTCGATGTAACTAGCAGTTAGCTGTAGCAGAGAGGCGCCCTGGATGCGGCCCTGGCAGCCAGCTATCCCGCCGTCACCGTCGCCTGGCCTGGCCTAGTTGTCGTTCGTTGCTGATGTAGATGCGGGTGTGGGAGTAACTTGACTGACCTGCGGTCTTCCTGGCCAGACATCTGCGTCTCGTCGGTCCAATGCGACTTGTGCGTGAGACGACGCTGGAGAAGAAGCAGGAGAGCGAGTGCTGTCTGCCTTTTCCTTTCTTGGGGGGGGGGGCTTTTTCTCGTTTCTTTTTATAGTTAACTTACGGGGTCGAAAAAGGTACCAAAAGTGTTGGTTATTTATTATTAGTGAGGGATCCAGCCGGCCTAGTTAGAGGAGACAAGGGGATACTAGACAGAGTAGAGGATGAAGAGGATGAAGAAGAAGAAGAGGAAGAAGAAGAGAAGGAGAGACGCCTGGGTGGCTGCTGGGATCGCGGTTAAACTGCAGGCAGCGAGGACTGCCGACCCCCACAAGCTGGGACGGGCAGCGATGCGATTGAACCCCTGAATTCCGATCCCGGGGGAGCCTGCAGAAGGAGGATACGAGAGACGTTGAAGAGCGAAGACGGGAGGGCCAGACAGACAGGGAGAGAAGACGGCGGCTGCAGTGATGCCGTTTAAGGGGGATAGGGGGGATGGACAGAGAGAGCCAGCGTCGAGCATCTCGATCGATCTCGAGACAGCGATATATATTACTACTTCGTAGATGTTATATACAGGGATGTTTCTCATCAGATAGTCAAAAGAAAAACAAGGAGAGTAAGAAGGAAACAGATGGCAGTCAAGATGCAAAAGGAAGAAAGGGTATCATTTTGCGCCTCCCTCCCCCCTGAATAGATAGCCCCGGGTAGATACTTCGTTAGCAAGAGAGAAGAGAGAAAGATAGACGGAAAGCAAGGTGTCTTTAATCCAGCCCGTGAGATCACAGCGAGCGAGCGAGGCAGATAGAGTAAAGGGGATTTTCTGTGCGACGGATGAGCTTCCCTTCTTCCTCGTCTCACGGCGGGAGAAGGGGTCACGGTAGCACGGCAGGTTGCCGACACCGCCAGCCAGATCGTCGACACACAAGGATGGTGAGTGAAGGATGCGGTGTCGTGGCTGCTTTTTTCAGTGGGAGCCGCCGTTGGACTTGAGTCGGGACTGGATCTCGGATTGCAGCAGTCGCTGGTTGGCAAGGCGGGTTTGCAGTCCCTGGCCTTGGGACTCGATGTAGTTGACATCCTCCGAGAGTGTCTAGTCGAGCAGGTCAGTAAAAGAAAGTAGCATATTGAATCACAGAGATGGAAGGACTTACGTCGAGTTCGTGGGAGTACAAGGTGAGTAGACCGTCCAGCTCATCGCACTCTTCCATTGCACGGTCAAACAGCTTGGCCAGCTGGTCGACTCGTCCGTCATGCGAGGACTGCAGTTGGCTCAGCCAACTGCTGGCTTGCACTCGTCCTATCTCCCGCCGTATTTCGGCCTCCAGCGCCTCGATTCCCTTGTCTTTCCCCAACCTACCATCCCATCCAAGGTCAGTTAACAGCCAGTCAAACTCCACGCCACGGCCACCAAGCACGGCCGGATCAATCCCAAGTGCGCTGCAGCACTTTTTGGTATTGTCTTCCCGCGGTACTTTAACGGGTTTCGTCTCCTTTGTCTTCAGAGATGAAGAGTCTGCCGATGCTGTAGACTTCTCAAACGAGACTTCCTTGCCGGTACTGGAATCCGTGACCTGGACTTTGGGTGGCTCCGTAGTGGTAGGCTTGGTTGTTGTTGTTGTTGTTGTTGTTGTCTCTGCGCTGATTCCTCTCTGCAACGGCGCCGGGACAACGCCTGTAATTCCATCTGGTCCGTCTGACTTCTCTTTCTCTCTAGCTGCCCGTAGACGCTCGGCTGCCCCACCAGCTCTAGGCTTGAAGGCGTTGTATGCATTCGCAGCCTTGCGTAGAACATTAGCCACGTCCTTTGCACCGCCCTTGCTCTTCATCATAGGGCCCAATCCCCGTCGGTGAGTCTCGACTTCGGGCTCTGGTTCAGGCCCGGGCTCGGGGAGAGATGCGCTGCTTGCAGCTGCTGGTGGAATGTTTATCACTGGAGGCTTTGGTTGCTCTGGAGAAGACTCGGTCTTCATGAGTGGTTCGCTTGGAGGCTCAGGGGTAGCGCGGCCTGCCAGTGCCTTCTCCATAGCGGCGGCAAAATCACCATTGATCGCAGGTGGTCTTATTTTCGGTGGCTCAGGTTGTGGTACGTCCTTGACTACCGCAGGAAGCTCAACCTTGGGGGATTCCCGAGGAGGAGGCACTGCTTTATACCTATCCTCCTCGCCGTCATTGCTCTTGACGCTTCTTATGCTCTTCTGATCATAGCTAGGGGACCTGTCAAACGCTGGCCGCAACGAAGCTGGCAACGAAGATTCACTGGTCGATGGCCGTGTTTGCACAGGTTTGCTAAAAGGTGATATATCGCCACTATCTAGGCTAGGCTGATGTTGTTTGCCTTGGCCGTATGGCTGTGGCCTATCCTCTGACTTGGGTGATGGAGCTGGCGCTGGCATGGGGGTATACACCTTATTAGGTAGCAAGCCACTGTCAGATACAGGAGATAATGGCATTGGTTTATACGTCCTATTTGGCAAAGTCTGATGCTCAGAAGTAACCGGGGATGGTGGTACAAGGTTCTCAGTTGATGGTGCATCTCCAAGCTGCCTTGACAGAGGCTCTACCGGTGATGTTTGCAGTGTAGGTTTTGATGGTAGGTTATTAGCAGCACTGTTGTTACTACCATCACCCGGTATCCGTGGCAGTAAAGTTGCTGGGGGCGGAGCGCGTGGCATCTGGTCCTGACTAGGTTTGTTTTGTAGAAACTGTTCTCTAGACGGCTGTTTTCGCATGTCTGGAGGACCATCACGGCTAGGAGGTAGATTGGAATAGGGGGATTGGGACCGGTTTGGCCCTGTAGATGGAGACTGTGAACGGGGATTCTTTCCATGCATCAACCTCGGGTCCTGTCCTCTGCTTGGAGGTTGAGACTGAGGGGGAGGCTGTGATTGTGATTGTGACTGCGGAGGAGGTCTGGAAGCCAACGGCAAGCTCCCAACCAGCGCTTCTTTCTCATTCGGGTCCAGCCCAACCAGCTCCGGAACTTTTCCGCCAGTATATTTCTTGTATATCTTTACGAGACTGCCGATAAAGAAGTCCCGCTCCTTGGAAGTTGCCGCGGTCCAATAGTATGGCTTAGTGATGGTGACAATGAATCCCAGGTCTGCAGCCCATGACTTTTGTTGCTGTTCGATCTGGCTTGATGGGGTCAAGTGGTCGTATATCTGGATGCGAGATAGATCGTCCAGCGTCCACGTCTTCCCTATCGAGAACGAGCCGTCGCTGTTCTCTCTTGACTTGTGCATTCGCACTCGGCCAGACTTCCGTACAGACACAATAATTGCTCTCGGCTTCTTGTTCTCCGGTGGGGAGGTGGTTGGAGGCGGAGCCGATGGGTAGGCTGCATCTTCCGTGATACGGATATGGGTGATGTACGACTCAAGTGCTGGCCGACTGTTAGCAATCTGTTCATTCAAAATATATCACTTTTTAAGAGCGTTTTTATTTTTGGACGCAAAATGGCCCCTGGCTTCTTGCGCGGCTCTTATCACGCTGCTGTTTGGATAGCTAGCCCGCCTCGTTGGTGGTCTGGAGACAAGATATGCTTACTCGACCCATCAGCATCCTTCTTTGAGAAACAACTGTTTATTATCCTTCGCTTCTCATCCTCGAATCTTTCTGCCCTCGAAGATCCAGATGATGGGTGCATTGGTCCTGAACCGTTACGCATCTCTCCGCCGCCGCGGCGCTCCTGGCGAGGTGATGCACCAGCCGGACGCCCTCGAGAGCGGTCGCGGGAGCTCATGTCGCCGGAGAAGGGGAAGGTGTTTGCGTCTGGGAAGGTCGTATGTGGCCGCACCGCCTGATACCAGCAACCAAGCTGTCAGTCTCTTTGCCGTGTCGTTACTAGATTGCGATGGTCAAGTTTGTTTCGTCTTGCTGCTTCGCCTTTGCTGTTGCTTCAGGCGAAGTCGCATCGCCGTATGGTACTGTTACAGCCGCAGATTTAGGGTGTCCAATTGGTCAAGCTTATTTAATAAGCCAATCAACGGGTAGATAACTGCGGACTTTAGCCAATAGAATAAAGTAGCCTCAACTTTACAGTACATCATACCATCCGCTGCCTTTTTCACAACGAAGCCACCAAATCATAGCCCAAAGCTGGAAAAATCAGGGATAAAAGGTCAACTCTCTTTTTTTTTTCCCTTTCTACAATTGCTAGCCGTCCGCTGTTATCGTCATTGGCTTCCCCTTGTCCTTTTTGCTCTCGTTGATCAGAAAAGCCGCCAGAAACACACGATCCATGTCATGTCCATTTTAGGACTAGCGCCGCGTTTGTGCGTTTAAACTTTCTTCCCGCGAAACTTTCTTTTTTCCACTTTTTTTTTTTTTTTTTTTTTTTCACGAATTTTCGATTTTGATAATTCAACGTTGAAGACGCGATTCATTTACTTTCCTCTTTTCACTCTCGTCGGGAGGAATTGCCAGCTACACTCTAGACGATGGCTCCCGAGAAGAAGTCAAAGGCCGGAAAGGGTCAGAAGACCTCTGCTGAAGCCCTGAAGTCAGAGGTATAGCTAGTGTTCAATGTGATATCACTGCTGTCCAGTTAGCTAACTGTTTGATAAATCGCAGACAAAGGTTGCTTCTGCCTCGCCTGCCCTTCTTGCGTCCATCACGCAATTTTTAGGAGATCATGGATACGTTAAAACGAAGGCTGCTTTTATCGAAGAGCAGAAAGGAAACGCACATGCCGCAAAAGCCATGCGACAATCTCACACCGGCACGGAGGGGATCCCTTCTCTAAATGTCATTTATGAGCTTTGGGAGGCTCAGAATGCTGGAAAAGACGCCGATTACAATGGCGATGAGGACTCGGACTCAGATTCAAGTGTCGCGAGCTCGGATGTCTCAATGGAGGACGCGGGCAGCAGCTCATCCGAGAGCGAGGACAGCTCCGACGACGACAGCAGCGACGATGATGGAAAAGGAAAAGCCTCCAAACTGGCTCCGACAGCCAGAGAGAATCAATCTCTCAAACGCAAACTGGAATCAAACTCATCCTCCTCTGATTCTGACTCTGACTCCGACTCTGAATCGGATTCCGACTCAGACGGCGCTCCCAGTCCGAAGAAAGCAAAGCTGGAGCTGGTTACAAAGAAATCAGCAGAACCCGATTCTGACTCCTCCGAAGATTCTAGCTCTGACTCTGACTCGGACTCGGACTCGGACTCGGACTCTGATAGCGAAGAAACGAGTGACAAGAAGGCAGATTCGGGCTCTGATTCAAGTTCGGATGCGGATTCAGACTCTGACTCCTCCGACTCGTCTGACTCCGATCCAGACTCCGATTCAGACTCTATCTCTAATGCAGAAACCAAGAAAGAAGCATCAACCCTAAAGAAGGCTATCAAAACTCCGCTCCCTGAATCAGACAGCGACAGCTCCTCTTCCGACTCCGACTCCGACTCCGACTCGTCAGACAGTGATGATGACGATAACATTGCCGAATCCTCTGCAGCCGATGAGGGAAAGAATTCTTCAGATTCCAGTGCTACCCTGGCAGCAACATCCGGCCAAAGTGATTCTGACTTCAAGCCAAAGCCCGCTCCCAAATCAGTTCGCAAACACGTGGGAGCCAGGCCAACCCCCTTGGCTGCAGCCAGCGAACTGCCTCACAACCACCCATCTAACGCATACGTTCCATATGCATATGCTGAGCGTGCTCACCGTGATCTGTCAGTCACCCGCGGCAAAGGCTTTACCAAAGAGAAGAACAAGAAGAAGCGTGGCTCTTATCGTGGTGGACCAATTGACATCGGCCCAGGCAAAAGTTTCAAGTTTGAAGACTGACCAGAACCGGATCTGAACCTATGCATCCCTTTATCCTAGGAGGCTTACTTTACCCACCCCCTTCCCCTCTCTTATGTTTGGAGTCTATGTAGCAAGGCGTTTTTGCGTTCATGGTCCATGATTTCTGGGCTTTTCTTTTTCAAGTTCATACATGCCATTTAGCTGGCTAGGATTGTCCAATGAAGCCTCGTCCGCGAGCGTACTTCAACTCAAATAAGCAACAATATGGCAAAAAGAATCAAAAAGTTAGATGAATAAATTCAGTAATTTCAATGACGGAAGAAGCGACACAGCCACTGTCGAAGCATTCGCGTCCGTCATTAATGCCTATGACATCTGGGGAGACACACCGCGCGTTATTAATATACCACCGGAATGCTGGATGACAATCCTATTAGTAGATAGATAAGAAGACAAGATACCAAAATAGAAGGTCTATTAATTTAGCCTAAAGGATCGTCAGTATATTAATAAAACCTTCAACAAACTATACTAATAGGGTAGAATATTATAGGTAGATACCTATACCTCTTCTAGCTATCTAATCTTCGTGGTATAGAAGACTATTGTTAACCCTGATAGAACTAAAAGGGAAAAGGGTTAAGTAGTTATAGATATCCGAGGTCTTAATAAGATTATAGTCCCTGATATTTACCTAATACTAGTATAAGATAAGATAGTTTAACTAGTTATTAAGTATAAATATATCTCCGTCTTTAATACCGTATCCTTTTTCTATTAATAGCGCCTTAGACCAGATCACCAATTGCGGGCAGCCGTTATTTCGCACCGAGGGCAAGAGATCTTTAATGTGGCTATCATGGGCTATGCCGCGACATAGGCAGCGACCTGTGAGGCGGTCGTCGTGTCAAGATCTGACAAGGAACCTAAGCGGGCTTTGCGCTATATGGTGACGGGTTGGGCGGTATAGTTAGCCGCTTCTATATAGTCTATTGTATTATCCACAAGGTGGGAGAAAAGCAATACCTTAGAATACATGGGCTCGAAGACATAGTCGCGATTACTAGGTAGATTAATCTTATTTATTTTAACTAGGATACAGGCTATAGAGTACGGCGGAACAACAGTCTAATATACCATATAGATAGGTCTATTCTACTAGTAATAAGCCTTGGCGACAACCATTATTAGGATCTATAAATTTTGGCAGGACCCTAAGGTGGCCTTCCTATATTATAGATCAATAATAATACCTTCTGGGGTCAGAGTATCGGCGCCGAGTAAGAGCTTTGCCTTTAACTAAGGCATGACGTGAGCTTCGACGGCTAGCTGAGCGACAGCGGGACCCTGTGCTGGGCCTGTCGTTAAGGAGCCCGGCAGGTGTAGGTCTACGTCACTCCGAGAGGAGATCAATTAATAGAAGACACGATTACCACGACAAAGAGGCTACCAAGGTTACAAGAAGGCCCTTTTATAATCCCATACATAACTTTTTAACCAAGATCAAACTTAGCATATATAAAATTTTTGGTATCCTCTTTTTCTCCTTTTCCATGCCCACAATATATACTCATCATCTCCATCTTTCCTCTGATTTGATGTTTCTATTGACTGAAGGTTGGAACCACCGATGATCCCAACCAGGAATGTTATCATCATGATGCGTAACAGTTGACGAGCTCCAGAACGGTTTTTGAACGAACAGCCGTATACCTCTCCCGTTATCCTCAGGAAACGGACGTTCGTAGCAAGAGAGGTCAGCCGGTTGGTGTCCAGGAGAAGCCTTAGCATCTAGTGGTAAGCTGAGATTTAATGAAGACCAATTCAACCCGCTCTTATTGTCGCCAGATGTGTAGAGATCGTCTGTCCCGACCATGTCCAATCTCATCACAGTGTTCACCAGGCCAACATATAACGTTGACGATGTAGGCGATGGGAGAGACATAGTGTATACCGGGCCTCGGTACCGGGGTTTAAGGGTGCGTTGCAACCTAGTGTTATTGCGATTTTCTGATTGCCTGTCACTAAGGAATATCGATATGTCCTTGGGAGGGCCTGGAGGCAGATTCAGCTGAAGGCCGCGCACAATTGAATTAGAGCTCCTTCGTCGGCGATTCGACTTGGGTATTGACGGAGATGTGTTGTTGGAATCTACATGGTGCCGTCCAGTAACTCTGAGGTCAAATAATTTGAGAAGGCCATGTGCACCACTGCCAACCATCAACCGTTCATGGCCGATTGGAAGAAGGGAATATACTGGGCTATCGTCTACCGTATCACCATAAACTGCAACACATGGTCGTGGAGATCGTAGATCATGAAGCCTACAGCAGCCATTAGCTAGACAGAAATATTAATAACAAAAACCGTCAAGAAGATTTAATTACCTTATTTTACTATCTTCCCAGCCCGACAAAAAAAGGTTCTGAGAGCTCGTTTCTTTCATAGAGCTTAACGCCGGCAGCGGTGCCATCGCAGTAACTCGTGGCTTTCTTTCTGCCTCATCATCTTCAATTCGGATAGTGCATTCTGTTCTCACGTCTGCCTCATCAAAGCCGAAGATCTCAATCTTAGAAGACTCCCCGTCCGCCCCAACGACAGTCCTGCGATTTGAGAGAAGCTTTGAGCATCTGTTCCTTGAAGCGCCGTGTGAATGGGCCTTCAAGCTGACGAAGGGTTGGACGCTATGATTATCTGAGTCAAGCCTATAGAATGCTATCTCGCCCCGGTCCAGAGACACAGCCAGGACCCTCTCAGTTCCGACACTGAGGTCCGTATAGTCTAGCTTGTGGCCTTGGGTATCAAACGATGCTCTGTGGGTAGCAGAGCCCTGACTAGGCGAAATCGAAAGGCGAGTGAGCTCACCGTTTCGACGGCCAACGATGAGATCCTCGGCGTCAAGAGAGTCAACGGATGAGCTATCATCACCAAGCAGGTGCAGGCCAGCCACATCATCCCAGCTATTCACGCTGGGTAAATCGTTGAATACAACCCATTTAGCGCCGTCATAAGTGTTTTGTTGACAGCCACTGGCTTCTCCAGCACGATCGTGACTGTTCAGGTCCTTGATACGAAGCACCACGTCTGCTCCAGCACCCCATGCCAACACCTCTTTTCTCGCAAACCAGTGGTTACCATACCATGATTCATAGCTATCAATCACCGGCCGATATCCCAGGGTCGGTTTATCCCTTCGGGTCGTCTTGGGCTTCCCGATCCTAGCTGCATTGGACGGCGGCTCAACATACCGAGCGGTCACTGCACGACAGCGAAAGGCGTGAGAACGCAAAGTGAGTGCGTGAGCTGCATCTCTCCAGAGCGGCGGGGCGACAGCAGTGGGATACTGGCCCTGGACGAAGGCCTGGAAGATGCGATAGTCGTCTGCGGCGACTATGGTGTAGAGGCGACGGCAGGTTTGTGCCAGGCGCAGCAGGCAGCTTGCGGTAGGGAGAAAGGCAGCGATAGAGAAGATGAGCTCAGGTGGGAGACGTAGTAGCATCAGATAGGGACTCGGTTCTTTTCTTCTTCTTCTTTTTTGCTAGACTTGCTGGTGGTTGTTATGTTGAGCAACCTGTACTGAGATTCCTGGTGCATCATGAATTTTTACATAAAAACTATAGTACAAAGTAAGGGATGATTTGATAAGACAAACTAACGCCAGCCGCCCCTTCGTTCAAGTGGAGTACTCAGGGATACCCTGAGGGTCACATCGGTTCATATCCAGCACCATTTTGCTTTTATCATTGCTTGTCGTCGAAGTGGTCGGTTCTTGTGGCAGGTAAAGGTCAGATAGGTCTGAATCATCATTAGCCCAGACACTAAACATCTCGTCGTCCTCGTCGTCTGTGTCATAGATGTCATCCCGGGGTTCCACGTTACCAGCCATCGCGGCAACACGCTGTAAAACCCAGTGGAGTCCTAGAAGGTCAGCATCTGGGAGTGGAAGGCGAACTGGGTCTGTAGTCTCCAGGACGATTCGGCTACCGGTGGAGATAGGCAGCCTAGTTGTCACATCCCATAGACCTACAACCCCGCCAGTACTGTCCTCTCTAAGCTGTACAACAGGCGCGGCGGAAGGCTCTGTGCACAAACGAAGTGACTTGGGGGTGTCAAAATCAGGTAGCCACACAAACATAACAGTAGAGCTAGTCTGGTCCTCGCTGGTTTCGAGATGTTTGAGAGCCAAGTAAGCCTTGCCCTGATAGTCATGGGCGTGAGGTGCTAAGCAGAAAAGGTTCTTTGGCGTCTCGGTGGTAGCTTGGATCGCGTTGAGCCATCTCTCGACCTTTTCCTCAGACTAGAAGGTCTTCAAGATCTTCCACGGACTGTAAAACTGTGACCTCGCTTCCTCAGTTTGTAGACCTCGCATGGCGAAAGGGAAGATATGAGCTACTTCGACAGGCTCACCAGATTTTGTGATGACACATCTGTTTCGGTCTCGTTCACGGCACTGGCCCCCGTCAGCATGTAGGAAATAATTCCTCGTAGAAAAACAAGCTGGGCAAACTCACAAGGTTGCTCTGTGGTTTTTCCCTTGTATCCCGTCGTCGCTTGAGAAGAGTGGTGGGCAAATCAGACACACCTTGTCGGGTTGGCGTACTGGGCTGGGGCGGGGTTGTAGATGTCGAAGTCGCTTGGCTACTTTCTCGCGTCCGTTGCATCCCTAATGACTTGTCTGTTAATATCATCATTCCTTATGCAATACAATAATGTTGCTATCATCCGGCAGATACACCAAGGGAGGACTTACAGTGCCGCAGCAGATTGCTTTCCTGTAGACTATAATCCAAGCCTGGCACAGTGACTGGATTGCGTCTGGCGCTCTCCACGATCCGCCGCAGTGGCCCAAGATCTGCCACGCGCAGGCAAGCCCACAGTCCTCGTGAGAACAGAGCGCTATCGACGAGGCCGTCCAGTTCGTTGAGCAAACTCGTTCGCTCTGCCCTCTCGGCCTCGTTATCGTCGGAAAACATGTCCACCGCAGGCTGCGGGTCCATTGCTCCTGTGGCGTGGAATGCAAAGCAGAGGAGAGCAATCGCGAGTAGAGAGAGAAAAGAAGCGAGAAAGCTCACCAACTGACACAGTGGACTTTCAGGCGCGACACCACAGGATGAGCTCGCTTGGTGATGCGTTCACTGCCGGGGATTGTTATTGTTATGGTGGGATGGCAAGCTAACGAGTTCCTCAGTAAACCCACGGAGCAGGCGGGGCCCGGAGGAAACAAGGGCAGGGCGCGCAGATGCGACTTGCAACAAGAGAAGAAAAGGGGGGGTATTTTGAATGAACGAGACCGCGAGGAACAGTCCACTCCTGGGATAAGACGAGATGGCCGAGAAAGACGAAGAGAAGAACGATGCCGCAGTTTAACTCTTGAATAATAAAATATTAGGCTTAACGGCAGAGTTAACGGATTAGCGGACTAACTTGTGTGGCGGCCCCAGATTAACCCCCAGGTTATCACGTCAACCATATTACCCACACTATACGACGCTGCTCCCTGGGCCCTTCCAGCTAACTAGGTAACGAGCTTGCATGGAGTTGCGCTGGGTAATATAGCTCGCTGCGTCCTTTGTTCCATATATAGTGATGAGGACGGGCGCCTTCTTCTCTTCCCTGCGGACATGAGGGCATCTACACTCCCAAAGCAGGAGCAGACACAGATACCATGGCCATCCTCTCTTCTGGACTGTTCCAAGCAACAGCTGCGGCGCTGCTGCTGGCGTTAGGAGTCTACAAGTTCATCATATACCCGGCCTTCCTTTCACCTCTGGCCAAGATCCCAAATGCACACTTTACCTCCCCGCTCTCTCCCCTATGGATCCTGTGGCGGAGATTTCGAATGACCGGCAACAGGACGATCCATGCCGCTCATATGAAGCATGGACCCATTGTCCGCCTGGGGCCGTCAGAAGTATCCATAAACTGCTATGAAGGTGGCCTTCGAACGGTGTACACGGGTGGATATGAGAAGCATGAATGGTATCCGCGGCTATTTGGCTCTTTCGGGTAAGTACCCAAACTATGACTGTATATATATACTCTTCGTTTACCCAGCTCTAAGCGGTTATGTATATAGAACTATCAGCATGTTTTCGATGGTTAGGAGCAAGGAGCACTCGGTCAGAAAGCGGATGCTTGCAAACATATACTCCAAGTCCTACCTGCAGGCTTCGCCCCAGCTCAAAACAGTCACTGAAGCTATCCTCTTCGATCGGCTATTCCCAGTCCTCGAGGGGTATGCCAAATCAGAGTCCTCTGTTGAGGTCCACGAACTGAACAATGCCATAGCTTTGGACTTCATTACTGCATATATCTTTGGCTTGCCGGCTGCGTCGAATTTTATACAAAACCCATCACCAAGGAAGGAATGGTTCTCTATATATCACAGTCGCAAAGAGTTTGAATTTTACATCCAAGAAACCCCGGAGCTACTTTCCTGGTCTCATAAGCTGGGATTTCCCTTGATCCCTAAATGGTGTGATGGCGCAAATGCATTCATGGAAAAATGGGGGCTAGATACTTGCGACAAGGCAGAAGAAAACATCTCTTCGTCAGATCCCATTGCCGAGCCAATTGTATATAGACAGCTGAAACAAGCGCTTCAAAGACACTTTGCTGCCAATCCTGACCCTCGACTCGAGGGTAAGGATGTCGCTCAGAAGATACGGCTTGAGGTTGCCTGTGAGACATTCGACCATCTAACCGCAGGACACGAAACTAGTGCTATAACCCTTACATATCTGTTCTGGGAGCTTTCGAAAAACCCGGATATCCAGGAGAAGCTAAGAAGGGAGCTGAAAACCCTCGTTCCCAACGTTATTCCTTTGAGTCACAGTGGTAGATCAAAACTGCCCTCTCACAAGTCAATTGATGCTCTGCCCCTTCTGGACGCAATCGTCATGGAGACTTTGCGACTCCATCCACCCATCCCAGGAATTCAGCCCCGATTGACTCCTGCAGACGCTTCTTTGGCTGGATACCATAATTTACCGCCGAACACGCGAGTTAATGCTCAGGCATACTCTCTTCACAAAAACGAAGACGTCTTTCCAAATGCTGATAGCTGGCTGCCAGATAGGTGGCTTGCCCCTGCTGGCTCTCCACAACTAGATGAAATGAAACGTTGGTTCTGGGCCTTCGGTAGCGGAGGCCGGATGTGTATTGGAAGCCATTTTGCCTTACAAGGTATAGTTATCCTGCATTTCACCACCATGAGCGATGAGGCTTTGCTTACCTGACCTGACTGTAGAAATCAAATTGGTCGTTGCTGCACTCTATACAAACTACACAACTCGTATTGTGGAGGACGAGGGTATGGAGCCAATTGATGCATATACCACTCGTCCAACGGGAAACAAACTAACCCTTATCTTTGGACGGGCACGAGGAGGTAGTTTAAAGAGCGTATAGTAGATCTAGTGTCTTTCACCCTCAATTTGGTTACATCGTGAGCGTTAATAATCACTCCAAGAAGACAAATCCGGTATTGATGATAAAAAACTTCCATATAGGCCTATTATACAGCGGTAATAAATACATCGTTTCTTGGAAGGGGAAAAAAAATACTAACACATTTCCATTGTTAAGCCCCAAACTCCATACCAACGCAAGGGTTGGTTTTGTACCTCCCAAGAAACTTTCATCCAGTCAATCGTACATCTGTCAACCGTATCCATAGGTGGAAGGGCTGGCCTGGTGTCTCCGGTAATGCGTATGTACCAAAGAGCGGATTGCGCGTTGCGAGCAAAATAACCAATGCAATTAACGAGTGAAATAGTTTATTTCTCCTTCCTTCGGGGTGAGATCATGCGGAACATTCGAGCAAGATGGTAGTTGACAGTATTCTTTCTTTTGACTTTTGTAGGCTGTATAGCAGAAGCGGAATGGTTAGCAACCAGTTTCAATTTGATAGAGAACACGGTTTTTCTCGTTCAATATTATCAGGCCGGGAAAAAACATACATGTGAGTCTGTGCATAATCGTAATTGCTGTTCCAGTGCTAAGCATCCTTGGACACTATATCCCGTGGCTCCCCAGCAGTCTAAAATGATGAAACTGATGTTAGCTACCGTTCTTGCATTTCCACAACCCAGGTACTTCTTGAACCACCAATTGATCCATGGAAGGAACTTACTGAGGACAGCAGTCATAGCAGCAAGGCATGGGTTCTGGTCATATTTCATGGGACTCTTGATCTTCAATCGTGGGAGGGACTGGAGTCGGATTGTCCCTGCAGTTGCCGCTGACTTGGGAGGCATGGTGACGGTGTGCGTGAAAGGAAAATAGGACGGGAATCTCCCGGTAAACGTGCCTTTTGCACCCACGGTCTGCTCGATCTGCGTTTTGCTTCGCCTGGTTCTTCTGTCAAGAGTGCTTGAATTGCGTTGAAATCACTTTTTCGTTCTTTTCTTCAACTGCTTTTTTGATGCCAAGAACTTTTATTTTTAGCTAAGCATATATATTGATTACTAATATTATCGAGAGACGCTGGAGACTTTGGAAGACAACGGGACGACAAATAGCTGGACGAGAAACGAAGTAGATCAGGTTCGGTTGTTAGTGATGGATTGTTTTGAGGAGAGATGAACTGCTATAGGGTCGCTGGACGGAAAATACAGAGCTCCTTGCCTGGTTGGGGTAATTCGACCTCATTGCTACGGTCTCCCATCGCGCGGCCATTCGCATACCACCAAAGGCTCTATGACCAAAAGCCACACCCGCAGGATGGAGCGAGTAAGGAGCTTGAAAGCAATGGCGATGGTGCCATGTCGAGGAGGCTGGCCGAAATGACCGAAGAAGCCATAACGCAGGGTGGCAGTTCCACACGAAAGAACATCCAGCAAGAGACCGGGTTCTCAGAGGAGCTGAAGCAAAGACTCCAAGAAAGAATCGCCGAGACAGCGTTCAAAAATGAAAATGCAGCTGCAATTTCCTATGCGAACCTGCCGGTAAGCAGTTTATCCTTTTGTTTTCCTGGAATGCTTGCTCTGAAGCTAATCGGATTTCATGTTAATAGCAAAGTGCAGGGAAAGGAACGCGGGATATAGCCGGTGCTCCTCCGTGGACAGGCAACGAGAGCATCCATGATGCTACACTTCGCATGCTGACCGATGCGAGCAACCCTATGCGTGTACCCTTTCGACCTCCGCAGCCGGGAGGGCCGGTACCCACGGCTCCCAAGCCTAAACGGAGTGTGTCATCTGGCGAGAGGTTAGCGGCTGCCCGCGAGCGGACAACGGAATACACATTAAAGCAGGATTCAAGTATCTCCAAAGAGGAACGAGAATCATTCCGCAAGGAACTACAAGATCGTTTCGGTCCCGCTGTACATTCTTTCCCCGTAACCATTCAGGGCCTCAGCTCTTTGGCAAACGAACGGATAGAAGATGCAATGGCGCGCGGCCAGTTTAATAATATCCCTCGTGGAAAAGGGAAATATACCAAACGAGATCCCACCGCTGATAGCCCATACATCGATACCACTGAATTCGTGATGAATCAAATCTTACAAAAAGAAGACACTACGCCTGAATGGATACAAAAACAACATTCGATGCAGTCAGAAGTCAAGCAATTTCGAAACCAGCTCAGAGAGAACTGGAGAAACCATGCTGTACTAATGATCCGAAGCAAGGGTGGAACGTTAGAGGAGCAAATTAGACGGGCACGCAGCTATGCTGCTGCAGAATCCAAGCATAATAAGTTATTCCAGGATCGTGTACGGCTGTCTGGATCTGATGATAATGCCAATACAGCTTCAACTGGGACTTCCGAAATTCTGGAAGACCTCCCTTGCTTGCGAGATCCGCAGTACATGTCGACAGAGCGGGAATACCACGAATTGAAAATAAAGCGGCTCAATGAATCTATACGATCCTATAACCTACAGGCTCCTCAGGTATCTCAAAGGCCATATTTTAACCTTCAACGAGAGCTGGATTCTTGTTACGCTGATGTCGCCATCAGTCTTCCCGATGAGATAAGAGAGCGAGCAACCAGAGGATCAACGAAGCCGGGGTCTTCCGGTAGTCATCAAACCGGACTAGGAGGCTTTTCTTCGTTTTCTGCCTCTGCCCATGAATCTCGTATTTACGATGAGGACAGTTCAAAGGGCTACGGATTCAAGCAAATGTGGCGGGACCTATGGAATTGAACAACTGATAATAGAGATATTATTCCTAAGGGTATGATCCTCAATCATTCGACACTGTCTGTGCCCCTTCAGACACAAGCTGGGTGGCTTCTTGTATATTCAGGCCACCATCTCCAAGATACGGACAACTAATCGATCCTGGACAAATTAATAAGAAGCAGCACTGTGGTTATGGCTTCAAAAAAGGCACAGAGGTTGACTATAAAAACCCAGGGCCCAAATGCTTCCGGGCGAGACTTCTCTCTTCCATCCTCTAGACTCCCTTCTATCTCCAAGCTCTTTTCCTGCCAGAGTGCCACCTCGTCGGCCTGTTTAGGACGGGACTCTCTACAGTATCGATAAATGTTGCTGTAGCATGTGACGGCTGCGAATATCGTGCTCAACAGCTGGATCACGACTAGGTAGGAAAGGGTTTCAGCCGGGGCAAAGAGCATATTCATGGTATGTGGTTTGCCAGGTGAAAATATGCCCGCATGGAACATGTAGCTGAATATCAGATAAGGCTTGCTGTATATTCCCAGAAGACAAAGCCGGTGTAGGCATCCAGCGCTCATTTCCAGCAAATCTCTGGCACTGCGCCGACATTTGAAGTAAACAGTGTCGAGAAGGTCGAAGATCTTGGGGGCGCAAGCCAGTAGGATCGTAACCACGGCATACACGGTGATAGTGCCCGAGACAATAGAAGTAGAAAGCATGGCCATCTCTTCCGCCGCCGTTTTTGTCATCGGCTCTTGTGGTGTAGAGCGTCGGGATAGGTGTGAAGGCGCTGCAGTGCCTGCCGCAGTCTCTGCGCCGGCAGCGCCCTTGGTGAACATGGCAAAGAGAGGTATAACAAATGGCCGCCAGGGGAATTTAGGGTAGTCATTCTTCGGCCAGCCTGCCTGGGCCATGTCTGAGTCTCCAAAGGGGAGCCGGGAGATTACCTCGAGGTTGCCGACCCAGATCTCGTTGACAGCGTTGCCCGGCTCGTAGAAGTTGGGCGACTTGACACCACTAACGGCGGATATTTTGTTGCCCATAGAGGACTATTTCGACTGTTTTTCGACCCCTTTCGACTTCTTCTGACTCTTTTTCCCTGGCTAAGAGTGCGGAGTTTTCGGCAGCATTGGCTCTGTCTGCGTCATGCCGTGTAGTTTGTTTGCTACTTCGGCACGGCGAGATATCAAATTTTGCCCTCTCTCCCACCTGGAAGTTGCAACCTCTACAAAACAACGTCACAGTCACTTAAACTCGCCTCCATCCATGGTTCGAGGTAGTCTAATTCTACCATGAACTGTAACATTGAGCTACCGGAGTCAAGCTGATATGGGGGGGGGGGGGGGGGGGGGGGGGGGGTTTCCTGGTTATGCTTAACAGCTGCTTTGATAAGTGGTCACAGGGAGCACCACTTCTCCAGTTCCCGTTAGCCATTTGATCAGGGGATATCAATAGTGCTCAACACTGCGGGACATGACCAGTGTCTGTGTAATGCTGCCTTTCCATGGCTCCGTCAGGCAAAAAAGCGAGTCATCAGAAGCAAAAAATAGAGCCAACTTGGCAAAACAACCAAGACTTTGCAAAACAAGCGACGACGAGGCCAACGTCAATTCAACGACAGCATTGATAACTAGTTATCGACTTCACACTCCGATCATCGAGAAAATATACAGAGAATACATAAAGTACGAAAGGAGCAAGGTCTCATTTCCGTCGTCCATCAACCTCGCTTTCGAGCACATCCACACCGTGGCCTTACCAGCCGTCTACTTAACAGGCACCACAAGGAAGAGGCACGACAACTCCGTAAACGCTGGATTGTGATTTGCTGCCTGCCTTGCACGAAAGCGCATGAAGAAACCGAAAATGTGATGGGCGCTATCTCAGTGTGACGGGTGGCTGCTTGCCCTGCAGCTTGCATGGCTAAACGGGGGCCCGGCCAACCAGGCCCGTTGAAGAGAGATCCCGTCCCTGCGAGGAATGGCGATGCATCAATCCCATTGGGCGCAATCCTGGCACTTCATCACGGTCAATCCCAGCGGCCTGCATGATCGATGCATCCAACTGTAGAGCTGGAGGCGCCTCTCGGGCTTTATCATCACATTTGCCCTGCTCCACACAGGACGGACCGGGGCCCTGCTCTCTTCTTCTTCGCTGCGATGGGTGCCTCTTGTATTGCAGCATTGCCGATCACCCCGCCCACAGCAGGTTCAAATATCTCGAAAATAAGGGAACTGTCTTCAGAGTAAAAGAAGAAAAAGGGTGAAAGGGCTAAGAGATACCTACTAGTTATGCCCAAGATTCCCGCCGCAGGATGTTGGGTACTCGGTGTTCTGCTTATATGTCGACGTTGACGGCCTGCGGTCTCTCTTTAATCATCTTCCTGCAGCCCATTCCCATCAGAGCTGCTTCTATTTGGGGCGCCAGCATCTGGATTGACCCTGCGCCGCCCCCAGACGAAGGACCGCCAATATCTGCATCTGCTACAAAAGATACTGCGTTGCTTTGGAGGGAGATTGTTGCCATAGTCGCCGCTTACATCGCCGTCGTGTCTCTCTTACTAGGCTGCCTATTGACAGTTGGCAGACGACTCCGTCGTGGTGCACAGGAGTCTAACGGAACGCTGGAGATGGATCTCGTCAAACCGTCTGGTGGAATGATGGAAGACTCGCCAGCTCCGGTGGAGTTCTCTACCAACAATATGTGGCCGAGCCCAATGAGCACCAAGACCCAGAGTAATAATGTCTGGCCGAGTCCGCCCAAAAACAAAGCTCGATCCTTCAATATGCCATGGTCTTCTTCAAATCGAGCGCAATCGGCACCGTCGATAGCTGGAAGCGTCTCAACAGTTGACGAGAGCGTTGTCCAGGCCGACCGGGTGAAAGCGCAAGAAGAGATGGAAAGACTGTACGCTGCTGTGATGGAACATGATGCAAGGAAATCTGCCATGTCTCAAGAGACAGCTACTACTAGGGGGTCCCCCCCTTCGCCTTTGAAGTCGCCTGTGCCGCTTGAATCCGCC